TGTCCGCATTGGCGGCCACTATGTTATACACACCGTCGGGTCGGCCCCCGGCGTCCAACAACTCCTTCTCGAATGAGTACATGTCGTTGCATATTATGAGCGCCCGATTCAAGTGCGCGAACAACGCCTGCATCGATGGATGATTCCACTCGGGCTCCGGTACGTACAGGTTGTCCGCGTATTCAATGAGATGCAGTAACGGCATCGTTGCGATTGATTTGCCCCTAACCTATGGGATAGATATCATGTTTTGTGAGTTTTATAATAATAGAATTTTTATAAGTATTTCAGATTAGATGTTAAACAAAAATAAATCAATATAGTTCAAATACATAATTTGCCATAAAATGTGATTTAATTAACTTTAAAAAATAAATTAATAAAATCACACAAATGTGCTTTGTAGTTTTAATAAATTGAATTGAATTTATTGATATTTAGAGACCCGGCTAACTCAGCATAACTGATTTTCAGTTAGGGGGTAAAATCACAATAATTCAGACAACTACATTAATAATACAAACCTCAATATATTCATCTAGATTATTGAATTTGCGTTTTGCCTGCAAATCATAGCACTCTTCAATCATCCCTTCATTCCATTCCCTAAACACATGTAAAAAGCGTCGCTTTTGGACCTCATTTAAGGCCAAATAGATCTCGTTATAGACGGCATACGCGGCCAGAATATAAGGCTTCCAGCGTATGGCCGACACGTGTCGACCCCCAGCGTCCTTACCCTCTAGTTTGTCGCACACGGCGTACAATTGGCCCAGAATTGCAGCCGCTTTGTCGGCATCGCGATCAATATGACCATAAACAGTTTCATCATGGTCGTCGGCCACGAAAAAGTGAATGATCATTTTGAGCAGCGCGTCAAATTTGTCATGATCCTTAGTGAACGGCCAAAAATAACCGGTGAAAATGGCAGTGCCCTCTATGCGCACAAACTGGGCCTTGGTAAATTGACTGGTGTCAAACGACCATGATAGTCCGTCGGCAATTAACGGTTCAATCGTTTGCAAGGGATTGCACTCATAGGGTAGTAGTGTATTAAACCGCTCCGACACCGGGTATTTGCGCTCAATCTTGTTGTCTGCTTCGGGAATAGTTGTCATAGAAGGCATGGCTGGCGTTGAACTGACGGGACTGGCGATCGGGGGCGACATTAACTGGGAATGGAGTCAAGTGATACTACTTTAGTAGTATTAATAGAATTACTTACTGTAATTGGATTTGTGATTACCATAGCCTCTCTATTTATAGCCTGGGAATTTATTATATTTTTAATTTTTAAAAAAAATATCCAGGCTAAATTAAATTACGATATTTGAAGGTTTTTAAAAATAATATGTTGTTTGTGATACAACTTATCTCAAAATTTAATTAACAAAACAGATGTTTTAATATAAAATTAATTATCGTATTATGTTATAGTAATGGCATCAACACATTTTGCAATTTACCTGTTGTAAATGCTCCGCCAGGTCTATAATTAAACAAGTTTGTAAATTACTTGGTTATATAATGCTATTAGGTATGAATTAAAATTACAACTATTATGTTGCGCAAAATTATTAAAATTTTGTAAAGTTTTATAATTTCTATTTAACTTTAAATCAATTTAATTTATTTTAAACTTAATCAATCATTAGTAATTAATTAAATTTATCAATAGGCCTGTTAGCTTATGAATGTACCTTTTGTGGTATAAATACATAAATGACTAATACTGCTATTTATATTACATGTATAAATATATTTATACATTTATACATTAAATACATTTATATATTACATGTATAAAAACATGTATAAATATAAGTTTTCACCTTAAATATTAGTTATAAATGTATTGTATGTATATTATTGATTAAGTTAGTGACAGACGATTAATTAATCTCTAATTAATTAACCAATCTCTAATTAATACAATACGTAATTTGAGATAGGAGGAATATAAATATATTTGTTGAATTGAGACCAAACAACAAATTTACAAAATTCTGAATTCAAACTTTAATTAATAAACTACCTTGAATATTGTTTTTTAATTAGCTTGATAAAAACAGACAATTTAAAAAAAGCAATTATATGTGATAATTAAAACTCTTTAATGTAATTGAAATTGAGTTTTTTAAAACATACATTTTATTAATAAAATTTATTTTTAGAAATTAATATAATGTTTAGTAAATTTATTACAAATATTAAGTTAATATAATTATATTAAATTCAAATAATAAACAATACTGGCAATTATTACACAATAAATGCGGTTTAAATTATTAAAATTAACTATATTATTAAATCTCTAATTATAATCACGATTTGCATAAAATTAAAAATAGCTCAACAAAAATAACTAACAAAGTTCGCATTGCTAGTTTAACAAGTTTGATTAAAATTATAAAACTCATTATTGGTCAGTCCGGTTGTGGACCCAATGGATTGCTGTATTGCATTCATAGTAGTGGCGGATATGAAGGTTATACTTGGCTGCCGACCAAACACGTCAAATGTCTCTGTTGCATTTTATAATAATTGTATTAATTTATCGTGTGTTACTAATTACAATAATTAAGTTATTTACCAACTAGTGTTGTATTAACAATCGTACAAGAGTACATAAGCATGTAGCTAGTGTAGTCGGTGTTCAGTATCATCGATTGTATGTCTATTATTATAATAGTTTGCAAAGTTATAACATTAATTAATAATTACTAATAAATCAAGCTTAAACAAGTTTTATGTTTATACCGATTAGAGTTCCCAAAATATCCATGCTTAAATTGAATGGGAGTTGAACAGGAGTGATAGGGAGATCAGATAGACCGATAGTAATTGGTTGGGTTTGTCTATTTGATTACGCGTTACCATGATTAATTTAATAACAATTATAGATCATTAAAAAAAATTTTAATGGGCCAGTAAGTTTGACTTACCCTGTAATATTAGTAGTAAACAGAAAATTAAAAGTACTGCTGGTTGATTGTGAAAAGGTTATTCGTGGACATTGCAGTGGACAGGTCTGATTAATCGAGGTAGGTGTCATTGCCACAAGATACCACAGACCCGTTAGCTATGCAAATATAATGTTAGTTTAATGTAGGTAATTTTTAAAAAAAATTTTAAATAATGTTAATGTTAAACAAGCATGTTATTATTTTAATTTCTGATTATACCTTTGTCATATCAATAGTGGTCATTCCGTTAACATTAGGGCATTGTGGTGTTGTAGCCATGGTGGTTGCAGGTGCGGCCCGGCTTATGCCAACCACACATACGGTAATAGCGAGAATAATGTTAACCAAAAGCATCATGGTAAAGTAAGTTATTTGTTGTTATTTTTGTTAAATAAGTTTTTATAAACAATAAATACTTTATGTTTAATAATATAATCTGATCAAGTTTATATACTATTTTATTTTATAATTAAGGTACATAATTTCAAAATATACATGCAACATTATTTTAATAAGTTATTATTAATAACAAATTGCTTGTAATAAATAATTGTATAAATATATTATTATTTTCCTTTAATAAATGTTACTGTAGTTTTGTCAAGTCATCAAATTTTGTGTCATTAGAAATTGAACAGGATATAATGCAATATACTTATCATAATAATCATCATGCACTTAATCTGATATGTACCATTTATTGTGCAATAGATGTTATCATTGATTGCAAATTGCAATTTGCAATTGTACAATGATTTATTATAATTTTGTTTAATTTATTAGAATTAAATGATTAATTTTTATTGTAATTTTTATTTGAAAATTGATTAAAATTATAAGTCATTAAATCTTAAGCTAAATAAAATAATTTTAATATGTTCAAAATAACATATTTATTTAATTTACTGTATTTTCTACGTTAATTTTAAAAATATTCTTTATATACAAATTATATGCTAAATTATTTTAAAAATTTTAAACATCAGTCGTCCTATTATTCTTTTTTAATTACCTAGTTATTAATTTAAATTACCATTTAATAGTACCAGCAAAACATATGCACAGTATGTCAGTATATTATTTGATTATTTTTAAAAAACATTATTTAAAATAAAAACACCGTCTGCAAAAAATTAATTAAATTAAAACTTTTATTTATTAAAATAAACACCTTTTTCACTTAACCTAATCGATCTTGATTGATAAAGCAAGTTCTGACAGAGTAACCATCTCAAAATTAATGCGAAACTCAATTTTCATTAGAATCAACAAGATCTCTACTCCTAGTGTTGCCAAAAGTTCCCAATAGGTTTGGGATTTTCCCTAAATTAGAATTTCACCTTCATATGGACAGCTCAAGGAATTACATTTTAATAAATACACTGATAAACATATACACTTGTTTTTGCATGAAGTTAACATAAAACATACAATTTGGAATTTAGTTTTTTGTTTATTATTATATAATTACTTTAAGCATAGCCTCTTTACCATATCAATAATAAAATATTGTATACAACTACATAATTAAGTGAAACGGGCATTACGATTGATATAATCGTATAAAACGCCAAGATATAATTAATTTATTACTTTGTACTGTTTTAAATGTGTTTTATAAATGACTTAAATGTAAAAAACGTTAATTTATATTTTTATTTTATCACTATATTAAAACTAATACACATTTTATTGTGTACATACATTATGTCATTGTTTCGACAAAAACAATTGATGTATAAATGATTAGTTGTTACATAATGTAAATTAAACTATAATATTATTTAAAACTGTTAATTCAGATGTCATTTCAACAGAAATTGTTAGTCTTATAAATCAATCAATTGTTATCCAAAGTGTTTGGACAAAAAATTACAACAATAATGTTTTCCGTTTTGCTCATTATATCAATTATATCTATAGTTAAATCTCAAACATTATGTAATCACATAATATCTAACGGCAAATACAATGGCATAAAAATATACCAAGAGTTTTATGATACATGGTCGTCGACATCAACATTTTCAAAATATTATATGCTATCAAATGGATATTTTTGGGAATTTCGTATTGAAAAGCGGATAAACCAGACAACACCAGTGGTGTCAATAAGTGATACAACAGTATACCATTGGCACACACAGTATGTAAATAGTTTTGCGGGTTTGCTTGATTATAATGGATACGGTTATGCGGGATATTATGGTTGCGATACATTTTATACGGTATGGATATACAGTTATTTTTGATAATCTAACGACAAACTAAATTATTAACTGTATGATTATTACTTGACCAATATAAATGATTTTTATATTTGGCATGATTTTAATTAACAGTGTTTAAATAGTATTTAAATAATATAGATAGCAATACTTGCTCTAATAGTATAATAAGCATTAATAGATAATACTATGTGTAGGGTTGCCAACTGGTCAAGGTTTGCCTTGATTTGCAAGGTGAGAGGGTTCTGGTCAAGGTGAAAGGCGAGGGTCTCACCTTGACATAGACAAGTCAAGGTGAGAGTAAATGTAATTACCGTATGTCTATTTTAGATATTTTTTGTAATGAACACACTATTTAAATCCCAGAATAATATTAATTGCCTATTTGTATAATAACAAAACAAATCCTTTATTAAAAACCCTTCATGAGAAAGACTTTTATTGACAAAAAGCTCGTATTTTATATGGAAAATACACTGTATTATAATAAAACTAAATTAAATTAAAATCTAAATTTACATTTTGCTTATATTTTAAAAATATTTATAATCAAATATGCAATAATAATGGTGGTCAAGGTTTGGTCAAGGCGAGTTTAGAAAATTTTTGTAGTTTTCAAGGCGGTAGTCGATCAGAGTTGGCAACACTAACTATGTGTACAGAGTATTTTGACCAAAAATCCCCATAGAGTCTTATGGTAACGATATCTTAAAAAATGCAAATTTTTTACAAAATTCGTAATAAAATCTCTAGTGATTTCAATTATAATAAGGTTAATATAAAAAACTAATCTACAATATATGACAATTTAGGCGCAGTTGATTTTGCACAAATCATACTGTGCATGTCTGAGAAATTAAGCTTTGAATTATCTTACTTATTCTGTCTCACGAGTTATATAATTATGGCCAGTGCTTCCCGACAAGTAGTTAGAAGGACAAACACAACTGGATTTGATGTGTAAGATATCAGGTTATAAAATCATGTTTTTAATTAAGATCAGTTATAAATTCAATTATTTAAAAAATAAAATACATGAAAATTTTGATTTTATGGTCAAAATACTTTGGACACATAGTAGTAATTATTACAAGGAGTACTATGTTAAATTTAGAGAGTGTACCCAATTTCGTGCTCTCAACACCTCGATGACTTTGATAAATATATGTAATTTTGTGTATAAATTATCCTAATTTAATTGTTAAAATGAACTTTATTTACTCAAAATAAATCCAGTAGTTGTTTTAAAATTAAGTATTTAGCTTATGCTTAAATTATCAATAGCCTGATATTAAGATACATGAACTTACATAAAATTTTATTTAAAAATAATGTGTGTAACTTTAGGATTTCCCGCGAAACACGTCGATTTATACCAAGTGTAGAATTGTTTTTGATGAGAGGGGTGTATCGAAAAAGGATCGCAAATATTTTACCGATCCGTTTACTCAATATAACCCAAAGGCCGTAATGTTTAGCCCAACCATTCGGTCCATTCAACGGTCGCTAAATGAATACAACATCGCGTTGAATACATACGACCGGTCGGTGCGGGTATTGAGTGCTAAACCTTTGGGTGACTTTAAAGATGCTTACAACCCCGATGAATATGCTAAAGTACCAGGTGGAGTGATTGAGATGAGTGAAGGTAATTGTACACACCCTGTTCAATGTCGACGGCCAGCATTTGTTAATCAAATACCCAATCACTTACTGCCACAACTGGAGGGTGTGGTTGACTATGATTTGGGTGGCGGACAGTCCGGATACATGCTATTGTTTAACAGCTCAGGTCAGCCCCGGTATTGCTTCACACCCGAAGGCAAAGACCTATCGAAACAAGTAATGATTTATATAAATGTTTTCTAATTAAATAATGTCTTAAATAAATGTTTATATATTTTTCAGTGCAAAACATATGAAGATAAGATTCCTTTCGAAGAACTTTGTTTTCCAAAACAACTTTTCACCGCATTTTCGACAGCTGTTCCCACAATACATGAAAATTCACTCAAATTAGTGCTAATTGTGTCAATTGTTTCAATAATTAGTACACTTTTGTTGGTTTTAGTAGTGGTTGTGGTATATAAAGGTTGGAAACCAATAGCCCAAAGATGGACAAACATCCGTTTTGACAAATTTGATCAACAAGTTATAATACATTAGTTAAATATCAAACATAATAAATATGCAAACAATAAACAAAATCAAAATCTTTATTTAATTAAAATAAATGTTACAATTTCCTCCATGCTCAGTTAAAACAATTTACCCAGAACCTCATCAAACTTAACCACATGCACTACTTTGCCCATGTATTTCTTCACCTCGTGTTGAACAATACCCATCACTACCTGTTCCTGCGATTTAACAATACTGTCGGTCAGTTTATTGAACGGCCAGACGAGTCGACCGCTCTTTACGCCAAAGCCCTCCTTGTGTTTCAACACCACGTCCTGAACGACCAGTTGTCGGGTCTGACTGTCGGCCAATAGGCGTACGTTAAGCACAGCCTTACGGACCCATAGTTTTATCGCACGGTTTTTGATTGAAATTCTGTGAAATAGTTTTGCGTTCACTTTGTAGTCGGCGTACACGTCGTGCAGCACTAAATCGGTTACGATTAGCTTTTTGCCACCGAATTCATCGTTGATCAGTACAGGACCGGCACGTTTCATGTTGGTCAGACCCGTCACCCAACCGTCGTGTAGCGTTACCGAACCTGGTCATGTTTGTAAATTGGTAACATTAGTATCATGATTGTGTTTAAAATGGTTTTTATGATAAGAGGCTATAATAAAGTTTCTAGTAATATCATTATTTATGAATGAGAAATACAGTATTTCAAATACTCTCTCTCTCTCTCTCTCTCTCTCTCTCTCTCTCTCTCTCTCTCTCTCTCTCNCTCTCTCTCTCTCTCTCTCTCTCTCTCTCTCTCTCTCTCTCTCTCTCTCTCCTTTCGATATATTTAAAATAAATTTTACAAGGTTTTACTCACCCCATCGACCATGTTTAATGGGACCCACCTCTGACAGGGCTACTTTCTCAAAATCGACCCGATAGTCTCGTTTAATTAGATCTATTAAGGTGTCCACTACATGATTGCCGATCACCACGTGTTTCTCATGTTTATCGTAACCGCCGCCCACCTCATTGACACCCTTATCGCCGCCGCCCACCACTACTCCCTTGTCATTGCCCCCAACGGCGCCTCCAAAGTCGTAATCGGCACCGCCTGACGGGTACTCTCCTTGACCTTTACCACTGTCGCCAACACCAGGGTATTTATCATCAGGTTTTACATGCCCGTAGCCATCATTGCCCGGGTATTTGTTTTTGGTGTCAATTGAAGGGTGTTTATCACCAGGTTTTGGCTGACCGTAGCCATTATTATCAGGGTATTTGTCTTTGGTGTCAATTTCTGGATATTTTTCACCATGTTTTACAGGGCTGTAGCCATCATTACCCGGGTATTTGTCTTTGTTTTCAGTTACAGTATATTTGTCTTCGGGATACTTATCACCCGCAACTGGCGTATCTGGCAACGAACCGGGTTGTTTTTGATGCTCTTTACCAGTATCAGGCACATTAAAACCATCATCATAACTCTCTTCGTATCCAGGTTTTTGCCCATGGGGCTTTTTATCAGCACCAGGTTGCTTTTCATCACCAGGTTTAACAGGGTTACCATATGTCTCCTGATCTTTGCCGTACTCATCGTTACCCTTATTGTCGGGAGCATAACCATAGCCTGTGTTACGACTATTGAAGTCTTTGTTACCCCCAATGGAAACCTTTTTATAATCTTTGGCCAAATCAACATCACTGGGCTCTACGGCCCCGTCGGTGGGCGACTTGTCGTGACCTTTGACTTTAACGTCCTTATCCTTAGCCACACCCCCATCGTAACCTTGGTATTCATCTGTACCGTCAGGTGAACTGTTTTTGGCATCTAGGTGTGACTTTTTGTTGTGATCATGATCGTTTGTGAAAGTTTTATCTGTATCTGGTGTTATATGTTTTGTTTTAGTTTCATCAGGGTTTTGTTTATTGCCGGTTAGTGCTGTTTTAATGGTGGTTATATCTACTTCATCTAGTTTGATTGGAAAAGTTATAGCAAGTTTTTATTTGATCAGTAAAGTATATTAACTATGTAAAAATTTTATCCAACTTAAAGTAATTCATTTTTAAATACATACCGGTATTATAAGTTTGGTTTTCCTCGTCGGCCAAACAATAAACACTTGTTAATAATAATAAATAAATAACTGATTTTAACATGATCATTAGTGACTACTAGCAATATATTACTAGCTTTGACAATTTTGACTTATCCAGCACAATTGAAAAACTTAATCTAACACAATAAAATACTGATAATTTGAGCTCATTGTAAATGTTGGTATAAAAATATAATTCCAATAAAAACTTAAAACAATTATAATGAATGTAAGTTAACAGACATGGGATATCCCGTTCCGGCGCAACAATATATTACAAAATTGTGTAAATTTATAGTGAAAAGTATTTCAAAGTGTTATAAAAAATGACATTAAATTTGGAAATATTATTATTTTAACGGAAAATAGATTTTATCGCTAAATGTCTGGAAAATTTTGTTGTATTATAAAATTTTGTGTAAACTTAAATACAAATAAAATATATTATAATTTAACAAGCATGTTTATGTATAATAGAAATAGAAAGTAGAATTAGAAAGAGAACTAATAGAAATTAAAAATTATAAATCAAAAATTTATTTATAAAAATATAAATAATTTACGACTATATAAAATATAAATAAAAAATTATGTTGCTAATAATTGTTTTTAAAAGTAAGGTTTACAGTAAAACAATCTACGTTAATCTGTTTTAGATTTTACAAATGGCAAGTGTTGAGTTGAAACAATCATTATAAAACCCGTAACACATAACATCTCGATCACAATAAACGCCGCATTCCATGAGTAATATTCGGCGATTGTAGACAATGGGAGGCCAGCGAACACACCGCCAACTATTGATAAAAATAACCACATTAAAAACAAATATTATTACAACTAGCTTATTTACAAATACACAAACCTAAACCGGCCAAGGTAACAATAGCCGAATAGGTGCCCGCCAACTCCTTGGGTCCCAACTCGGTGCCCATCACCGATATGTTAACCACATTACCAGATATAGCCACACCTATTAGCAACGCTGTTATCACTAGCCATAGTGTGCTGGAGCTCTCATATGTACCAAAACACAGAGCATGTAAGCCCACGGCGTTCACCGCAAACATGACCACCGATACCAGGAGGCGGGCCCGGGGACGCCAGAGGGGGTCAGTGTTTGAGGGCTGTGCCCGACCAACTAGGGTATCGCTAAGCTTACCAGCCAACACTTTACCAAAAATACCGCCTACACTCGCAACACTAATGAACATGCTAGTGCGATAGGGGTCAAACCCTAGCTGCTTATCCATATACATTGGCAGCCAGTCCATAATACCGAATCGGCCGACCCCCTCCATGAAACTAATAGCTATAGTGAGCATGGTTAACGGACTTGATAGTATTTGCTGCCATACACTGGCACCGACAGGTTTAGTGTTGGTTGTTTTAGTGCCCTTGGATTTGTTATCGGCACTGGTAGGCCGGTTACCATCGAGAAATATATAACACACGGCGCCCACCATAAGGGTTTGCACGCCGGCAAAGGCTATGTATTGGCGCCAGCCGTACGCCCCCGCCATCCAAGTGGACACAAACGGGTTAACAATAGAAGCAACATTCACTGATAAAAGCACCAGGGCCCAATTGGTAGCAAACTGTGCCGGTTTGCTGTGCAGTCGTGTTAGACCGATCATAGGAGGAAGGGCCAGACCTTGACCAACACCGTTGGCAAACCATAGGGCTGAGAATAGACTGGCGTTGACTTGTACGGTTGATAGTAGCAAGGTGGTTATGGAGCATATGGCAAACGCGGCCACTAATAGAGTCCGGGCCGGCACACGATCGCTGAGTATACCGGCGCCGAACGTGGTAGCGGCCAGTGATACGCCCTGTGCGCTAGATATTGTGCCTACCAGATGCACAAATATAACAATTAACAAATTAATTTTTTGCAATGCATGTCAAAATTATATAATGTTAATTTAAATGTACAAAATATAAGCATGTTAGTTGTCAATTATAAATTAATATGAGTTTAGAAAATAGGATTTTAATTTAATATTAATTATGCACCCATCACCCGTTGACCCTGTTGTTAATCCCAGAGTAATGCCATTTATTTTAATCCCAGACATACCTGCGCTCTGTAGAGATAATCCCTCGTTAATGAGTTGTGTGAACACAAGTGAAACACATTTACGGTTGAAGAATACGGAGAAAAAGGCCAAAAACACGACCAAAAGTGTGTGAAATGTGTTTAATTTAAACATTTTAATATATTTATTAAATTAAACACTATGAATCATAGTCTATTATCAAGATATATAAAAATTAGTTTATTTAAACTAATTACTATAAATACTTATTTTAATCTTATTTTAATTTTTACACATCAAATTTAATAAAGTAATTCCAGTATTGATTAAATGGAATTGAATTAAATATAAAGTATTAAGTTAAACATTATTATTTCAATATTATAAACAAACAGTAACTTATACTGTACAGTGTACAGTGTACACCATATCTTACATGAAAGTACAGTATATTTCACTATATTGTAGATTACACCTTTATTTAGCCACGACCTTGGTAAGTTAAATATATCTTATGTTTTAGTACACTTTTAAAAGTTTGATTGGTTTATTTAAATAGTACATTTAAACATTCAAACAACGATAATTTAGTTTAATTATAATTTATTTTCATAATGGTTAGGTTACAGCCATATTATATAAATATCCTGTAATACTTTATGTAATTTTATATTAAATTTATTTTGTTAAATAGTCCATATAACTAGAAATATTTGCTGTATTATAACATGTTTACAATAGCAATGCTATTTCTATTTATAAAATATGTTTATTTGTGTTTATTAGTTCAATCATATGTTTTGCCAAACAAGTTTAATTTGTTTAAATCTGGACAGGTGATTTAATTAAGAATTTTATTTAAATATTTAATCTATTGATTTATGATATATTTGACTAAATATGTAGTTTATC